GAGAGTTAACCTGTCTTTTATAGGCTTGCGTCCTGGGAGTGCCTTTTCTTCCTGAGTAATGTAGGTCCTGTTTGGCATTTTCTTCCAAAACAGGCCTGTTTTGTCACAATTGAACACTATTCTGGTTTTAATTGTTCAGCCTCTATGTACCCCTAAAAGTCCTGCACATATTTTTCAGCCAATTTTTGGTCACAACTGGCAGACTCACCATGCCTTATCACACTGTGTATGCCACTACGATTCTTAACCCTTAAACTGTCCAAACAGATCTACGTTCACATGTAGTGGTCCAAAAGTAGATCTACGTTTTTTTACATATTTTCAAATATAACAAAAAAAAATATAGATCAAAGTTTTTTTACACATTTTCAAATGTAAAAAAAAAAAAGAAGGTCTATGTTTTTTTACATACTTTCAAATGTTGAAAAAACATAGATCTACGTTTGGACAGTTTAAAGGTTAAATCTCTCAAACCAACCTTTGCTGGCCTTAAATTCACTAACATCAGCACTATTTGGAGGCATTTTCTTAATTAGATCATCATGCAACTGCCTTGCCTTTTCACATATGATTGACTGTGAAACACTATGTCCTGATAATTGTTTGTCACTGATCCACACCAACAGCAGTCTCTCCACATCTTCGAGTATTTGCGATCTCTGTTTTGTAAGCACATTTGCACCTTTCGCAACAACAGCTTCCTTGATTGCCTTTCTGTTGGCCAAGATAGTAGCGATGGTTGATTTGGGTTTGTTATACAACCTGGCCAGCTCGGAGGCATGCACTCCACTTTCGTACTTTGCAATTATCTCTTTTTTTTCAATTCGATAGTATTTCTCACCCTTTTTACCACAGGGTTGGCACTAGAAGCTTTCTTTGGGCCCATGGTGGCTTATTTAGCAGTTAAAAGCACTATAAACACTGGAATAATGTAAAATGTATCGTATATATGCGTGGAATCATCCACCCTGGCTTATTAACAATGACACACTGGCTGTACATAGTGGCGAGCGGCTGCATGGACACGTTCTGGACGAATGTCCTTAAATGAGTTTTTCATCGTTAGCCGAACCAATATTTTTATGCAAAAACGCATTGGTATCCGATTTTATCGCTATCTGATGGCATCGTTAGCTGAGGGTCCACTGTACAGTACACTCATTACTTACCTTAAAATATTTATAGTCTTAATGTAGGGTGAGAGGTGAGTAAATGAGGTAAAACAAATAAATGAGAGAGAGAGACAGACAGACAGACAGACAGACAGAGAGAGAGAGAGAGAGAGAGAGAGACAGACAGACAGAGACAGACTGGACATTGCTGGTGCTTTCGACTGGGTGTGGCACCAGGGTCTCTTAGCAGAACTGCAAGCACTGGGAGTTGCAGGCTCTACGCTATGTCTCCTCAGTGATTACCTTCATGGTAGCTCTCTAAGGGTAGTTCTCAGTGGAATGGATTCAGCAAGATATCCTAATGTCGCAAGTGTTCCACAAGGAAGCGTGCTGGGACCATTGTTATGGAATGTTTACTTCAATGACCTTCTTCATCTCATCCCAGAATCCCATGCATATGCAGACGACTGTATACTGACATTCACTTATCCAAGAGAAGAAATGCCAGCTGCTCTAAGCTACATCAATCACCAGCTAAGAGCTATATCAGCTTGGGGAAACAGATGGCAAGTAACATTTGCACCTGAGAAAATGCAAATGATGATGGTCTCTGGGTACCATGATGGTAATGCTGGTGCAGTAGTAAGCATGAATAGGAGGGTGTTGGCACCTGGGAAAGAAGTTGATATCCTTGGGGTGAAATATGACTTCAAACTGACCATGAAGAACCATATTGTAAATCTTGCAAACAAGGCAGTCAGGAAGCTTACAGCACTCTGTCGTATCTCTCATCTGCTTGACAGTAGGGGTTGCAAGATTCTGTACGAGGCACAAGTACGCTCACACCTTGAGTATGTTTCACTTTCTTGGTTTGCCTGATGTCCCCCCTCTCATCTGCGACTGCTTGACAGAGTAGAAAACAGATCAAGACGTCTCATTTCTTGCCTGGACCCATCCTGGATAGATCTGTCATTTCAGCAGAGCCTTCAACACAGGAGGGTTGTGGGTGGCCTTACTGTTATGTACAAGGCCAATATTGTCAAAGTACACTACACTTGGATCCACTTCGAGGACAGCGAGAAACAAGCTTCTATACCACAAGACGGGCAGAAAGCGGCAGCTTCACTCTGGCTGTACCCTTCTCCAGAACATCACTGCATCTGAGATCATTTATCCCCAGGATGACTCGAGTCTGGAACATATTCATACAGCATTATGATGTCAATGAGATAAAGTCAGTTGATCAAATGAAAATGTTGGCCCACAGATGGCTCCAACTTCATCCTGTTCCCTACTTATATGTTTCATAACAGTAAAAATACTTTCAAATGAGCTGATGTAGGTAACAGCTCTTAGCTTGTCAATAAAGTTAGGAATCTTTAATCTGTAAATAGCTTGTCAATAAAGCTAGGGATCTAACCTTGTCAAACCCTGTGTAAAAAAGAAAAAAAAGAGAGAGAAAGGGAGAGACAGACAGACAGACAGACAGACAGACAGACATAGAGAGAGACAGACAGACAGAGAGAGACAGAGACACGGAGGATGTAAACAAACAGATGAATGTGTCTGCTTATGGTTGATTCACATTCATCTACACGTAACATCTCATCTCTGTTAATTTATTTTACCGTGGGGTGTATTTATTATGTTTATTTGTTATGTAGCATGTTTGGAAATAAATGGTATAAAATACCGACACAATGGAAATATAAACACATATGCAGTATAATGTGATCCTTTATTGACAACGTTTTGCCCACACAGTGGGCTTTTTCAAGTCACAAACAGATCTACCTGGGGTGGAAGGTACGCGAGCATTTATAGTCAGGTTTAAAATGTTGAGGTCACGTGGAGAATGCTGCATCTGATGATGTACCGAGTGGGGTTATAGTCTAAAATCTTGGGTAGCTTGGAAGGGAGATTGGATAAGTTTGTGAGCAGACCTTCTGCAGTGTTCTTCCATTCCTATGCTCTTATGTGGGATAGCGATGAAGAAGTTTCTTGGCTACCCAAGATTTTAGACTTTATAGCCTCACTTGGTACATCATCAGATGCAGCATTCTCCACCTGACCTCGAACATTCTGAACCTGACTATAAATACTCGCATACCTTCCTCCCCAGGTAGATCTGTTTGTGACTTGAAAAAGCCCACTGTGTGGGCGAAACGTTGTCAATAAAGGATCACATTATACTGCATATGTGTTTATATTTTCATGTAGCATGTTTATTATATAATTTTGAAAAAAAAAAGTCATAGATGGATTAATGAAAATGTTTATATTAATGTAATGTATGACATTTAATGTGTCTCAGAGTGATTATTATTGCATATTATTATCATCATCATTAATATGGCATCCTCAAGACTAATAAGACACTCTTAGTGATTTTAATGTGTACCTGCATGCCAGCATAGTGTTTAAGTTTATTTAGGTACAGGTACACGTAAGTATAATTATCAGAATGACTTTGAGAGTGTATAAATCTGTAGTGGAGGGAAGGCAAGGTAGGGGTCGGCCTAGGAAGGGTTGGAGGGAGGGGGTAAAGGAGGTTTTGTGTGCGAGGGGCTTGGACTTCCAACAAGCATGTGTGAGCGTATTTGATAGGAGTGAATGGAGACGAATGGTTTTTAATACTTGACGTGCTGTTGGAGTGTGAGCAAACATTTATGAAGGGATTCACGGGAAACCAGCAGGCCGGACTTGAGTCCTGGAGATGGGACAGTGTCTTCACTCTGAAGGAGGGGTGTTAATGTTGAAATTTTGTAACTGTAGTGTAAAGCACCCCTCTGGCAAGACAGTGATGGAGTGAATGATGGTGAAAGTTTATCTTTTTCGGGCCACCCTGCCTTGGTGGGAATCGGCCGATGTGTTAATAATAAAAAATATACAACATGAAATAACTTTAAAACATTTGAAATTTTTGAAAGTTTCCAGACATAATGGAGAGACGCATTGCTCATGGAGAATATAAACAAACCGGGTGACTTGCAGTGACCGTATTAGAAAGTCAAGTGGGGGGAGTCGTATAGCGAGTTTTGGTTATAATTTGAAATGTCCATATTAGCGGAATGCTGTAAGGCAAAGTGTTGTAACACGGGTCCCTACTTTATATATAATAGAAAATACAGTAGTCCCCCTTTGTCCACAGGGGTTATGTTCCAAGACCTACCATGGATACCTGAAACCATGGATAGTAGTGAACCCTATATATGTCATTGGGTTCACTACTATCCATGGATAGTAGTGAACCCTATATATGTCATTTTTCCTTTACATACATACCTATGATAAAATTTAGTTGATAAATTGAGCAAAATAAGTCTAGAATTAGCATTTTTTCACTGATGGGAAGCATTTCACTGCTTTTCTTAGGCTTTGAAGAACTGCCATTACTACTTTTGCACTTTGGGGCCATTATTAAGCAAAATTAAGGGTTATTTTTGGGTTACATTAAACTGTGGATAACTGAAATTGCAGATACTGAATCGATGGATATGGGGTCCTGCTGTATTGAACATAACCTGCTGAGTCAGTCATTTGAGAAATAAGTGTCTGCTATTTATAGAAAATTACCTCATTTTATCCACTATAATTGCCATTACCAGCTGCCCCATCTTGTCTATTGTACTGAAGATATATTGTATGCCTGTTCATGAATGTTAAACTTGCAATTCTAGGTGGCCTCTTAAATTTATTTTATAAATTCTACTCTGAATGAAGAATAGGCATGTTGCAGTTGTAGGGTAATCCTAATGCGATGGAAAGATGGGGCTTGAGTGAATGTTGGTAAATGGGTTTTCTACTTTTTCTTTGTATCATCCCTTTCTTGACTGGAGGCAGCTGTTGAATTAAAAAAAATTCTGCAAAAGTAATATCAGCTCTTTTTTTTTTTTCATTTGTGTTACAGGTATTGATTTCAAGATTCGAACTATTGAATTGGATGGCAAGAAGATCAAGCTTCAGATATGGGACACAGCTGGTCAGGAACGTTTCCGCACCATCACCACTGCCTACTATCGAGGAGCCATGGGGATTATGCTTGTTTATGACATTACAAATGAGAAGAGCTTTGATAATATTAAAAACTGGTATGTTGAATTGAGAAAAAGTGATACCAGTTCCTTGTAGGTCATGACGCTCATCAAATGTGGAAGGCAAGGCTGGCACTGTGATATGGTGTAGTAGTTTTTCTGTTTTTTTGTACCAGTCAGAAATACAGAGCCAAAATTTCCTACCATACTTTTTAACAAAAAATAAACCACACTGTACCATATTTCTTTGAGTTGTAATTTAAGCCTTTCTCTTGTAATTTTTTTATATTCTCTTCAAATATTTTCTTATCAGTAAGTAACTGTAATTCTTCCATCAGCCCTTTTGTTAAAAAACTGTGAATCAGCACAGTGCCCTGTGGCCTGGTGGCTAAAGCTCTCACTTCACACAGCGAGGGTCTGGGTTCAATTCCCATTGAGGGTAGAAACATTGGGTGTGTTTCTTTACACTGGTTGTCTATATTCACCCATCAGTAAAATGGGTACCTGGGAGTTAGTCGACTGGTGTGGGTCGCATCCTGGGAGAAAACTGACCTAATTTGCCTGAAATACTCTACACAACAAGCAGCTTTCTCTATACAGTAGGGCCCCACTTATATGGCAGGTTAGGTTCCAGGCTACTGCCGGAAAGCAGACATTGCCTGAAAACAGAACGCTATTTTTTCCACTTATAAATGCATATAAATGCCAGATAACAAGTTTACACTAACATATATTAAGTTAGCAATAGAACTAGGCATATAAACAATAAAATGTAAAATACACACACAGTACACCCATTACTTATCTTTAAATATTTGTAGTCCTGATGTAGGGTGAGAAGTGAGTTTTATTTGTAGGGAGTCAGGTTTGGGAGGTATAATAGCCAGCCAGGTCAGCCCACCCCACCCCATCCACATGTAATATGCTATGACATTTAATTACAGCACCACAGAGCAATAAAGTACACATACAGTACTTTCATTAATTACCTTAATATATTTGTAATCGTAATGTAGGGCGAGAGGTGAGTTTTATTTGTAGGAAGTCAGGTTTGGGAAGTTTGGTAGCCAACCAGGTCAGCCCACCCCACCCACATATAATATACTATGACATTTAATTAAAGCACCCCAGAGCGATAAAATGCATATACATATACAGTACATTCATTAATTACCTTCAGATATTTGTAGTCTTAATGTAGGGTGAGAGGTGAGTTTTATTTGTAGGAAGTCGTGTGGTAGCCAGCCAGGGCAGCACTCCCCGCCCCACCCCACCCACATGTAATGTAAACAAAGCAGGCGAACGCGTCTGGTTTTCGTCACTTTACAAGTTGTCTGCATGTTGATAAAGTAGAACAAATAAAGAGAAACACTTCCATTCTTCTGAAACACCATTTTTAGAAGAAAGACGCTCTGAGTGAAGGCATATGAAAGGAATAATTTTCTAGTTACCCCCAGTAATATTATAGTGACACATTTTCTCTGATGTTGGACTACAAGTCGCCTGGCTACCACAAGTTCTACAAGTTGCCTGGCTACCACATCTCATATTTATATTAATTTATTCTACTGTGGAGTGTATTTATCATGTTTATGTGTTACATAGTGTGTTTATTATATAATTTTGAAAAAAATGTTATAGATGGATTAATGGAAATGTCTATATTAATGTAGTCTATGACATTTAATGCGCCCAAGAGATAATGTATTACGTCTGGAGTAAAGAGACTCTTAGTGATTTTAATGTGTACCTGCACACCAGCACAGTGTATATTTAGGTGCAGGTACACATAAGTGTAATTATCAGACTACAGTGGACCCTCGGGTAACGACATTAATCCGTTCAAGAGAGCTTGTCTTTAACCGATTTTTTCGTTATCCGAATTAATTTCTCCATGAGAAATAATGGAAATCCAATTAATCCGTTCCAGACACCCAAAGGTATTAAACAAAAATTTTTTTTACATGAAATATACATTTCCTTACACAGAAAACAATGAGACATGCTGAATAAACATTACTGAAATGACATTTACCTTTATTGAGGACTTACTGATGAGTGATGAGATGAGAGGAGGGCAGAGGATGGAGTAGTTTATAATTGTTTGGAAGGGAAAGCCCCTTCCATAAAGACTTGAGGTAACAAGTCCTTTTCTGGGGTTACCTCTCTTCTTTGTTTTTTAATGCCACTAGGATCAGCTTGAGTCACTGGACCCCTGTCGCACCAAAAATCTGTCCAGAGAGCTCTGTTTCTGGCGTCCCTTTAAGATTTCACTAAAATGGGACACAATAGTGTCATTGTACATGTTGCCAATAAGGCCTGCAACAGCTGTGTCAGGGTAATGTTCATCCATAAATGCTTGCACCTTTGTCCACATTGTACAAATGCTCTTAATCTTTGATGAAGGCAGCTTCCTCCATCTCTCTTCCTCCTCCTCTGAAGGAAATTCCTGAGCTGTGGTCTGTTGCTGTTGCACCTCAAGATCTTGTAGCTCATCAGTGGTTAGCTCTTCATTGTCGTCCTCCTCCAACTCTTCCACATCTTTACCACTAACCTCCAACCCCGTGGACTTCCCCAAAGACACAATAGATTCCACAACATGCACAGACTCCTCAGGGTCAGCCCCAAACCCTTCAAAGTCCCTCTCTTGTACACGTTCTGGCCACAATTTTCTCTAAGCAGAGTTAAAAGTCCTGCAAGTCACTCCCTCCCAAGCCTTACCTATAAGGTTTATGCAACTGAGGATACTGAAGTGATCTTTTCAGAACTCTCTTAGGGTCAATTCAGTCTCTGAGGTCACTTCCAAGCACTTTTGAAACACTGCTTTGGTGTACAGTTTTTTGAAATTTGAAACGACCTGCTGGCCCATGGGCTGGAGAAGAGAAGTGGTATTAGGAGGCAAAAACTTCACTTTGATGAAGCTAAACTCCCCCACAATTTGCTTTTCCAAATCTGGAGGATGATTAGGAGCATTGTCCATTACCAGGAGGCACTTGAGTTCCAATTTATTTTCCAGGAGGTATTTTTTCACAGTGGGGCCAAACATGTGATAGAACCAATCTTGGAAAATGTCCCTAGTGAACCATGCCTTACTGTTTGCCCTCCACATCACACACAATTTAGACTTGACGACACTGTTTTTCTTGAACACACTGGGAGTTTCAGAGTGATACATGAGTAAAGGCTTCACTTTGCAATCACCGCTAGCATTACTACAAAACATAAGAGTTACCCTGTCTTTCATAGGCTTGTCTCCTGGGAGTGCCTTTTCCTCCTGAATAATGTAGGTCCTGTTTGGCATTTTCTTCCAAAACAGGCCTGTTTCGTCACAATTGAGCACTTGTTGGGGTTTTAATTGTTCAGCCTCTATGTATCCCTTAAAGTCCTGCACATATTTTTCAGAACTGGCAGCCTCACCATGCCTTACCACACCGTGTATGCCACTATGATTCTTAAATCTCTCAAACCAACCATTGCTGGCCTTAAATTCACTAACATCAGCACTATTTGGAGGCATTTTCTTAATTAGATCACCATGCAACTGCCTTGCCTTTTCACATATTATTGAATGAAAAACACTATCCCCTGATAATTGTTTCTCGTTGATCCACACCAACAACAGTCTCTCCACATCTTCAAGTATTTGTGATCTCTGTTTTGTAAGCATACTTGCACCTTACGCAACAACAGCTTCCTTGATTACCTTTTTGTTGGTCAAGATAGTAACGATGGTTGAATGGAGTTTGTTATAGTACAACCTGGCCAGCTCGGAGACACACACTCCACTTTCATATTTTGCGATGATCTCTTTCTTCAATTCAATAGTATTCCTCACTCTCTTTACCACAGGGCTGTACTAGAAGCTTTCTTTGAGCCCATGGTGGCTTATTTAGCAGTTACTAGTACTAAAAACAATGGAATAATACAAATATATATCGCATGTATGCGTAGAATTGTCCTCCCTGGCTTGTAAACACTGGCACACTAGCTGTACATGGAGTGGCCAGGCCCACTCAGGGCACGCGTACACATTCTGGACGAATGTCCTTACCCGAGTTCTTGGGCGTTAGCTGAGTCAATATTTTGATGCAAAAACGTGTCGCTATCCGATTTTTTCGTTATCCAGTGGCATCGTTACCCAAGGGTCCATTGTACATATAAAATATGCAATAACTTTAAAATGCTTGAAATTTTGGAAGGTTTCCAGACATAATAGACGTGCTCACGGAGAATGTAAACAAATTGGGTGAGGAGCGCCGTATTTGAAAGACCACTTGTCTTATAGCAAATTTTGGTCATAATTTGAAATTGCCGTTTTAGTGGAATGTCGTAAGGCAAAAACACCGTAGAGTGAGGCCGTACTGTAGTAGTATGTCATTGATGTCAGCTAGGCCTGTATACCATGTACATGTACTTGTAGTAATAAAGATATTGTAATTATATTATTCAGCTGTTTGTCATCTTCTGCCTTGATAATTGAAATAACTTTTTAATATTTTTTCTCATCTGCAAGACAAAAACACCAAACCAAAGACTTCCATCAGATATGTGAAGAGAAATTTATGCAGCTTAGAAACTGAAAATGAAAACATGACATTTTGGTTCATCCTGTTCTGGATAATCTTCTTGTGAGATAGCCATGAATTGTTAACTGTCATGATAATGTGACTTTTTTTTACTTATTATGAAGGACACGCCACTCATATAAAAGCCTTATTTTTGCATATAACATTCTTTTAGGGGAAAGACCTTATCAGGTGAAATGTTTATATTGTTTATATCAAAGACTTGTCCTTACATGGCAGTCCTCTTCACCAGACACTGGGGTATGTTACAGTAGTTTTGTCTGGCAGCTTCACTGTTTTATTGTATTTTAAAATACATCTAATATTTATATGTGCAAAATGCTTTTGCCAGTGTAAAACTATTTTTTTCAGTACAACTTGAGTTGTAGTAATTTGTAACATTGTCCTGATGATACAATATTGCTTGCAGGATACGGAACATAGAAGAACATGCATCGGCAGATGTAGAGAAGATGATCTTGGGAAATAAATGTGATGTAAATGACAAGAGACAGGTGAGAGGCCACTTATAATACTTTATGTTAATTTTTTATTTTTCATGTGTGTATTGAAATTAACCCTTTGACTGTCATGACCCCAAGTCTCTGTGTCACAAAATATAAAAAAAAATTATTTTTTCTTATGAAATGATAAAGAATCTTTTCCCAGTGGTAATGACATCAAAAGTATGAAATTTGATGGAAAACTTACAGAATTACGCTCTCACGAAATTAGCGATCTCGGCTATTTGAGCCCCATTTTTGGCCACTTCCATTGTTCCAGTCGACCAAACTCATAATCATTTCCTTAGAACTCTATTTGTTCTATTGATTGAGTACAAGAAACTGCCCATTTGCCAATTTCAACTACCCAATAAAGTGGTCAGAAATTGGCAGTTTGGACAGTTTCACGCAAATTAAAAAGATGCCAATTTCAAAATAGGGTCCAGAATAAACAGTGCAGACATTCCTGGCACTAAAACAACATTTTCTCTGTTCATTGGTCATGTCCCCAGGCCCCTCTTATATTACTCTTGCTTTCTATTTTGAATTTTTATTCACACAAAAACAAAAAATAGAAGATTTACTGTTATGCAGACTACTGCAATATTGTAATAATTGTATAAATAATGTCACCCCATTCATGACTGCATATTAGACTGGCCAGTTGGACATGCATTGGACGGTAATGTCATTTGTTTACTCTTGAACATCAACAAAAATCGAACATTTCTGCTACTTTGATCTCAATTTCAAGGTCCTTTTCATCGTGAAACCAATCAAAATCATCTCTGTTTCTGTAATATATCTACCATTCTATCAAATGAGACCAAGAAAACGAGAATACAACCATAAATACTCTACAGAAATACACCTCAAAGTCGGCATTTTAATCCAAAAACACGGTCAAAGTTTTTTTCTCATTTTGCACTGCGTGCTGCAAGATATTTTTTATACTGTGCACGTTGACCACACAGACCCATTCTCTCACATGTGGACCTACCAGCTTTCTCCCACTTGATTTGAAGCAGCTAGAATTTTGGAGTACAGTAGACCCCCGAATTTCGTGATTAATCCGTTCCAGAGAGTCAGTTGAAATTCACAAATTTCGAAACCATTTTCCCCGTAAGAAATAATGTAAATCAATTAATCTGTTTCAGACACCCAAGTATTAACAAAAATGACTTTTTTTGTAGATTAAATATAGATTTACATAAAGAAAAGAATGAGAAATCAAGTATAAAACAATAATAACATCACACTTACCTTTATTGAAGACTCTTGTTGGTGTATGGAAGATGGGAGGAGGGGGAGAGGATGGAGAAGTTACACTATTCTTTGGAAGGGGAATCCCCCTTTCATAAAGATATTCAGGTACCAAGTCTTTATCCAGGGTTACTTCCCTTCTTTGTTTTTTAACCCTTAAACTGTCCAAACGTAGATCTACATTTGCACCGCTAGCGCTCCAAACATAGATCTACGTTTTTTTTTCCTGTCTCCAAATTTGGCATGATTGGCCTGAGATGCCTGGTCAGTATAGAATGGGTCTTAACACTCAGTGTGCATGGTATTAAAAAATCTGGGACCACTTAGTACCTTGTTTACCTGGAGTTTACCTGGAGAGAGTTCCGGGGGTCAACGCCCCCGTGGCCCGGTCTGTGACCAGGCCTCCTTAGGTCAGTGTCCCAGGATGCGACCCACACCAGTCGACTAACACCCAGGTACCCGTTTTACTGATGGGGAACATAGACAACAGGTGGAAAGAAACATGTCCAATGTTTCTACTCTGGCTGGAAATCGAACCCAGGCCCTCACCGTGTGAAGCGAGAGCGTTAACCACCAGGCCACCAGAGCCCAGGCACCAGGCACCAGTAAAATTGAGTGCCAGCTAGAGCAAATAGCATGGCAAACACCAGGGATTCACTGATGTCATGTCATATTAACACTCCCCTTGTAAGAGGAAAGTTATGGATGTGTCCACAAGTGATCGAGGAAATATCAAAAACCTGTATAATAACCCATGTGTACAAACGAACGAAGAAGACGACAGGGCTGTCATGAGATGGGAAGGAAGAAGGGTGAGGAAGGATGGAAATACTGGAAAAGGATGGGAAGGAGGGGAAGAGGAGGAAACAAGGCAAGTGGCCCAACCACTTTGGGACATGTGGTACATAAGTACTGGAGGCGTAGATGGAGAGGCTTGATTGATGTCGGTACTTGGCTCACTAGGAGAGGATGGCAAAGGCGGTGGCAGGAGCTGGGACTGTCAGAAGGCAGCAAGCAGGATGAGTTGTGTTGGTGGTGGTTGGCTTTAGGCTTTTTAGGCTACTGTCCCATTAACCTTTTGAGGGTTTCGGCCGTACTAGTACGGCTTACGACCCAGGGTTTTTGACGTACTAGTACACCTAAATTCCAGTGCCTTCAAATCTAATGAGAGAAAGCTGGTAGGCCTACATATGAAAGAATGGGTCTATGTGGTCAGTGTGCGCAGTATAAAAAAAATCCTGCAGCACACAGTGCGTAATGAGAAAAAAAACTTTGACCGTGTTTTTGGAATAAAACAGCGACTTTGCACTGTATTTTCGTATGGTATTTATTGTTGTATTCTAGTTTTCTTGGTATCATTTTATAGAATGGAAGACATATTACAGAAATTGAGGTGATTTTGACTGGTTTTACAATGAAAAGTACCTTGAAATTGAGCGCAAAGTAGCAGAAATTTTGATTTTTATCAAAGTTCAAAAGTAAACAAATCATGCCAAGTGTCCAATACACGTCAACTGGTGAGTCTAATATTCTTTCACAAGTGCGCTGGTATTATTTATACCATTTCTACACTAATGCAGTAGTCTGCATAACGGTAAATCTTCTATTTTTTGTAAGAATAAAAATTCAAAGTGGAAAGCCAAAGAAATATAAGAGAGGCGTGGGGATGTGACTAACGAACAGAGAACTTGTTATTTTAGTGCCAGGAATGTCTTTTTTGTTTATTCTGGACCCTATTCGGAAATTGGCATCTTTTGAAATTTGTGTGAAATTGGCAAAATTGCTAAATTCTGACCACTTTATTGGATGGTTGAAATTGGTAAATGGGTGGTTTCTTGTACTCATTCGATAGAAAAAATGAAGTTCTAGCGAAATAGTTACGATTTTTGTCGACTAATCCATTGGAATTGGTCGAAAATAGGGCTCAAAGTGGGCAAAATCGCCGATACGTAAACATCGTCAAGACCGCTAACTTCGTGAGAGCATAATTCCGTAAGTTTTCCATCAAATTTCATACTTTTGGTGTCATTATGATCGGGAAAAGATTCTCTATCTTTTCATAGGAATTTTTTTTTTTTTTTTTTTTTTTAAATTTGGCCGACCCTGAGAACAAGTTTCGGAGAGGGCCTGTCTACCCTCAAAGGGTTAAGAAGAGTCTGGAACTTCGGTATTGGCATGTGCATGAGTCTAAATTTGCAGTTAGGGTCGATCTCTGGAGCATTAAGGAGATTGATGAGTTCTCTAAGGAAGAGAAAATGTGATGGACTACAGACGTACTTGACTTCTTCGCTCTGGAGGAGGGGGATCAATGTCTGTGCGTCCATTTCTTTAGGATACTCAGGAGTAGTGTGGAAAACGACTCCACGTATCTTGTTATAGTGTTGTTTATCCTTAGAGTGAGAGACAAGTGAAGTCGATGATTGGTTAGTTTTGTTGGTGTTGGAAGACGAGGATGCTGCGCGTGTCTTGATAGATGTGGTGGCTGGCATTGGAGGCGGTTTCTCATTGGTGGAGGCACGTGAGGCAGTGAGGGCTCTGATTGGTTCTTGGCAGTGGCGGTGGCTGGAGGAGGTGGTGGTCTCTCATTGGTTAATTGCGAAGTAGAGCAGGTGGCTTCTTTAGAAATCAAATCTTGCAAGTCATCTGGTGTCTCGAAACTGACGATTTTTGGGATAATCTTCAAAACATCAGCTGAAGCAGGACTAGCTGGGAAGTTGAATGATGGCAGATTGTTGAGGGCAAGAATATCATTCATAGTTGTATTAAAACAACCCGGGTTAGCTGCATTTTGCATGTGTGCATACATCAGGCAGTAGTAGAATTTTGTTGAAATATCGTCTGGTAGAGGAGAGGCTGTGAGTGGTGGAGGTTGCTGAGTGGCTTGTAGAATCTTGGTAGTGGTTGTCTGAAGCATAACTATAGCAGCATAAATAGGAGAGTTTCCTGTAGACTTCTTAGTTTCTTCTTTCAGTTTCTTAGAGAGGATATCCTTGCATACTGGACATTTGGCTGCAAGAGTATGGTGATCACTCTTACAGTTGATGCAGGTGGGAGCAGCAGTGGAAGTGCAAGAATGAAAGTCGTGATCTGCAGACCCACAGGTGGAACATATCTTCTTATTCTTCACGTGGCAATCGGCAGTAGAGTGACTATACGAGTAGCATGTCCTACAAGGTATTATGTAAGTGAATCATTCAGGCTCAATCTGTCGAGGGTTGATGAAGTAGTAAGGGATGGCCAGGCCATCAGACAATGCTCTGGCTGCCATGGTAATGTGTAAAAACGTGACCTTGAGCATCGAGGAAGCGTTGGGAATCTTTGCAACAGAGTCACTCTTGGCCCAAGTGTTGAGGTCTTCAAGTGATGACGTAATTTCCTCGATAGACATATTCGTGATTAGCCTGTCAAGGCACCCATGTGTAACATTTGTGCAACATCACTTCATTTTTGACACCACTGGCTGTCCATCTGTCTGTATCTGTCTATCTATAGGTCTATATCTCTGTCTATCTGTCTATATCTCTGTCACATGTACACATAAGTACAGTTATTATACATAGTGTAAATTACCTAGGATAACCCAAAAATTCCAGGCCAAGTGGTATATAGTGCTTGTAGATAGAAGACATACCATCCATGACTGGCAACTCAATGGCAAGTAATATGCATTTTCACTTCATCAGGAATCAGACGTGACTACTGCATCGTGTGTAATACCTGTTGGTTTATGAGCCGCTCTCTAAGACTGA